CCGCGCCTGCGCCCAGCTCCTGTGGCCGCGCCCTGGCGGCGGCGCGCGCGCTGGCCTGGAGGCCGACTTGGAGGCCTCTCTGGAGACCGAGCTGGCCCGGCAGGCATTGCGCGGGCAACATGGCGGCGCCCGGGGAGGGGAGGCGCTTCTACGGCGGGAACCTCTTCTCCTTCTTGCCTGGCGGCGCGCGCTCCGAGGTGATGGACGACCTAGTGACGGACGCGCGCGGCCGGGGCGCGGGGCGGAGAGATGCCGCCGCTTCAGCCCCGACGCCAGCCCAGGCGCCGACCGATTCTCAGGTCGCCGAGGACACCTCCCAGAGGCGGCCCTGCCGGGCTTGCGTAGACTTCAAGACGTGGATGCGGACGCAGCAGAAGGTTCAGATGCCCGGGGGTGCCACCTCCAGCAGAGGCCCGCGAGCTCTGCCGACCCCTAGCCCCGGTCCCCACACCTTGTTCTCAGGCGCCCTGGGCAGACCTCCCAAGGCCCAGGCCGAGCGGTCCCACAGGCCCCATGCCTGCAGACTTATGCTTACCAGGGTTGCCTGTCACTAAGTCCTGACCCCAAGGTGGGCCTGGCCTTTCAGCTTTCAGCCACACGTGGGCCAGATCGGCTGCAGGATTTCTGTCTCGAGTCAATAGGCTTCCGGCTAGGGTGGGAAAAAGAGGAGCTTTGTGGGCTTCTGGTCGGGGGAGACTGAACTGACCTTTGGTCGGCCTCCTTCCGCAGCAGGACAGCAAGTTTAGAGAAGATTGTCCTCAGGATCGTGAGGAACTGGGTCGCCATAGCTGGGCTGTCCTTCACACCCTGGCCGCCTACTACCCGGACCTGCCCACCCCAGAACAGCAGCAAGACATGGCCCAGTTCATACATTTATTTTCTAAATTTTACCCGTGTGAGGAGTGTGCAGAAGACATAAGGAAGAGGTAAGTTACGTCTGCATCATTTGCAGGCAGCAGAGCATGCCACCTGGAGCCTGGGGCCCCTGGCTGATGTCATAAAGGGGAACCTAGAGAAATAGGTGCAGAGGTGGCAGAGGGCTTCGGACAGCAGGGACCACCAACAGAGTGGGGATTGGATCATCTGAGCCATCTCCTTTCCCTTCAGAGGCCAAGCAGCCTGGGTCTACTGCCGGGTGCTTTTGCAGCCACAGGGCTCCCGGGGAGGGCTTCCCCCATGAGACCCCTTGCTTAGCACTGATGGAGGCTCCTGCAGGTTAAGGATGACTTCACTTTGCCTGACTTCTGGAGCAGGACTGCTGGTTTCAAGACCTTGAGAATCCACAGCTTTTGCTTCCAAGAGCCACCTTTTTCTCGCTGGGGAGCCTAAGAGCCGCTGTTTGGCACCCTTAGGTGTTTCTGGGCTGGATGTGTGGGGCAGGGCTGCCCTTGCCTTTTGAAGCCTGAGCAATTAGAATGAGGTCTCTTACTGAGCTGAGGTTCCAGAGCCCCAGGTGCTAAGAAACAGGTGTGGTTTTCAGTTATGCCTTTGTGCTGGCTCTACCCCTTCCATACACTGCCCAGGGCAAAGGACACTGGGGTGAGGCTTCCTAATGGTTCTGAGGTTGTAAAGTTGCCTGGTCTGTGCTTTAATGACTTGCCCTGGGCTCTTGTCAGGGTTGCCAAGCTCCCCAGGTGGGTGTCACAGGGTCCCCCCTGTTTGGGGAATTCCTGTCCCTCAGCACAAGGGCACTTCTGGGTGTAGCTCACTGCAGCGCTCCTGCTCGCCTCCCTGGGTGGAGCAGGCAAGGAGCTAGTGGGGCAGGGGCAGGGGACCCACTGCCTCCCCCATCCTCCATTGCTCCCCCCATGCAGGATACACAGGAACCAGCCAGATACACGCACGCGGGCATGCTTCACCCAGTGGCTGTGCCGCCTGCACAACGAGGTGAACCGCAAGCTAGGCAAGCCAGACTTCGACTGCTCGCAAGTAGATGAGCGCTGGCGTGACGGCTGGAAGGACGGCTCCTGCGACTAGACGGCAGCCAGCAGGAGTCCATGGGGCAGCCAGCCAGGGCCTGTGGGCAGCCCGGCTGGAGAGGGGAAAGGCACTCATTAAAGTGTGTCAGAGCCAGAGCCTGTCGTGTCTCAGTTAGGTGGTCCCCAGACACTGCCCACGGGGCCCTTTCCCTCCCACATTTGCAGTAGGAGTGGAAGTGTCTGCGCAGGTACCCTGATGGCCGCCTCCTCAGCTGAGGCCCAGTGGGGCTGCAGGTGAAGGAGGCAGGAGCAGCCCAGACTGTCCCTTCCATTCAGGATGTGGCCTCCTGCTCACTCCACACCCTGGCGCCCACTTCCCCACAGGACGGTGACACGTCTGGCTGGGCTGCCCTGCCAGGCCTGGCCATTGTCTCCCCTCCCATGTAGCTGGGGACAGCTGCAGTGACTGTAGCCCCAGAGACTGTGCGAGCTCTGCACTTCAGGAAAGAGGACTGGGGGAGAGCTCTCTACGCTGCTCAGTCTACAGGGAAAGCACAGGCAGGGCTCTTCTCCGAGGGTCCACCGACCCTGTTGCCTGCCTCCCATCTAGCACGTTGCCTTCGCTAGCTGCACCAGGCCTGTCAGAGGCTTCATGGGGCCAGCTTCCTTGAAGCTTGAGACCAAAATAAAGTGCTGGAGAAGTGACTGAGGACCTGGCTTCAGTGTGTTTTGTGCTGGGACTTGCAGCGATGGACAGGGTCTGCCCTTATCCTCTGTGGTCAGCTGCTTCCTCCTGTCTGGATTCTGGCTCCTTAGGAGGAAAGAGAGGTCCCACGGCAAGAGTGGACCAGGATATTCCAGGAACAGCAAGGAGGCCAAGTTGCTGGAGCCGAGGGAGGGTCAGAGAGGTGAGGGAGGTCACATGGCACGAGGTCTTCAAGGCCCCAGCAAGGATGTGGTTTTAACATCCAACTTCAGTCACAAGAAGGTCTTGGAGGACTTGGAGCCAAGGAAAGGTGAGATGTGACTTGAAAGTTCTCTCTGGCTGCTGAGCTGGGATGAGGCAGGCACCCCTGCGGCAGCTAAGAGGGAAGCTCGCCCTGTCGGATGGAGAAGACAGTGGATAGACTCTGAATGTAGAACCAAGGGAAAGGAGCCAAAGGTCACTTCAGGGTTCCAGCCTGAGAAGCTGGAAGGGTGGAGCTGTTCTGTGTAGCAGGGAGATGGAGAAGGCTGTAAGTGGAGCAGGTTTGGGGGTGACCTAGACCCTGCTTTGGGGCCTGCCCGGATCCACTCAGCCACACCTGCTCCCAGGCCTTGGCTCCCAGCTGGAATGGCCCAGCAAGTGTGCCCCGTCCCTGTGGTCATAAAGCTCTGGTCACCTATATCCCCAGGGCGCCTCTGCCTCTCCCTAGGCACAGGCCAGCCTTTGGCCTGGCCTCCTCAGCTCCTTCACCCAACTGGCCCCACAGGGGTGCTGGCTTCTGCAGGGGCTGCCCAGAGGGGCTGGGTGACACAAATAGGTGGGGAGCAGTCAGCACAGAAGTCACTCCTTCCTCTCCCAGATGGACTGTCCCCAGCACAGGGCTTCTCCCTGGCCTTCCCTGTGGTTCGTTCAGGAACATACCGCCCGTATTTGTCCTCCCTCCTGCCCCGCCTCATTTCCCTTTTCCCCCAACTCTGGCTTCCCCGAAGTTTCACCCCCAATAAAACTCTTTTTTTTTTTTAAATGTTTTTTTTTTTATTTTTTGCCCCCAAAGCCCCAGTAGATAGTTGTATGTCACTGCTGCACACCCTTCTAGTTGCCGTATGTGGGACTTGGCCCCAGGATGGACAGAGAAGCGGTGCCTCGATGCGCACCCGGGATCCGAACCCGGGCCGCCAGCATCGCAGCGCGCGCACTTAACCACCAAGCCACAGGGCCGGCCCATCCCCAATAAAACTCTTAACTTTGCCACAGACTTTGCCAGGGCATCCACGCTAAGACAAGTGGGGCTCTAGTTCAAGGGAATGTTCTGGCTCGAGCTGTCAGCACGTAGACCAAGGGAGTGAGCATAGAGGGAGGATAAGAGCCCCTAGACCACGCCCTGGGGCCACTACAGCTTCAAGGTCACAGGTGGGACAAGAGGAAGGAACCAGAACAGGGTGACAAGAAAGAGCCCGTGAAGTAGGAGGAACTCGAGGAGAGGGTGACATCAGAAGCATTTCCAGAAAGGTGGGGAGGGCAGTGTCTGAACTGCCCCTGGACTAAGGGGAGCAGTGACTTGGGACAGCTGGAGCGGAAGTGGGGTCAAGAGTGGAGGTTTGTTTTTAAGAGAAGAAAGCGTAGCATGTTGGGGTGCTAACGCAAATGATCAAGTAAAAGGATGATGCACGAGACAGAGGGCCAACTGTCGCTGACAGGTGAGAGGTGACGGGATTGGACCCACAGTGTGAGGGACTTGACGCAAGACTGGTGGGCAGCACCTCTGGCGACACCTCCCCTGGGATGGGTTCTGTCAGGCATCACCTTTTGTCCACGTGGATGGCACGGCAGGGACCTGAGTTTGAATCCCAGCTCTTTCTGTGATCCAAGAACTCAACTGGCCTGCCTATATTTACCATCTGAACAATGGGGTAATAACAGTCCCTACCTCCACAGGTCCTTGTGACCCGCTGGGCACTGTCAACGCCCAAAAAATGCAGACTTTTCTTATCAATGCTCTAGGCAGAAACACAGGAGTCATCCAGGCCCCTGCCAGGCTGGCCTGGAAGGAACATGATGGAAGGGACCCTGTCTGATGGGAGGCTGGGGGATGTGTGGAAGAGACCCAGCAGGGGCCAGGAGCTGCTAGGCCCCAGCTTAACCAAACTCCCATCTCTGATGCTTCTTCCCACCCTTCGGCCCCAAACTGAATATGTCAGCCACAAGTCAGTCCGGGAGACCCAGGAGTGTGGATGGCTCAGTGAGCGCCCTCGGAATGACAACATCAGGCCACAGGAAAGGAGCAGATACCCCAACTCCCACCCATGCTGGCCTGTGGGCTCTGCCAGCCTGGACAAGTGCTCCTGGGGGCAGAAGCCATCCTCTTTCTCTGTCAGGGAGGCTGGAACCCTCTGAAGAAGAAGCCAGGGTGCAGTGGGGGTTCATGGGAAAGGCCCCAGTATCCTATATCCGGTCTACCGGGGACCAGGGCCAGGGAGCCTGGTTCCCCTTCCCTGAAGGCTGAGGGGAAGATGCTGGAGCCCTTAGTTTCCGGTTACCCCCTTACACACTCACGAAAGGGCCTTGCTCAGAGGAGCGGGGTCAGGTTCATCTGTCCGTCCGCCTGGCTTCAGCAAAGGCTGAGCCCACTATCCGCCTGCCCTGTTGACTCCTGACTACCTGTGAGGGACAGTGGGGGATCCAGTCCTTTGCCCTTGCCCCCTGAAGAGGACCTGGCGGGTGGTCTCCACCCTGACCCTGGTCGTGCACGTGAGAGTGAGGGGTAGAAGGTGGGCGGGGCGGAGGGAGGAGAGGGCTCCAGCCCCGCGCGCGTGGACCAGTGGGGGGGCGCGGGCTCGGCCCCGC